GGGTTTCACCATGTTGACCAGGATGGTCTCGATCTCTTGACCTCGTGATCCACCCGCCTCGGCCTCCCACAGTGCTGGGATTACAGGCTTGAGCCACCGCGCCCGGCCAAAATTAAATAAATTAATTAAAAAGTTAGCCAGGTGTGGTGGTACACCTCTGTAGTCCTGGCTACTTGGGAGACTGAGGTGGGATGATCACTTAAGCCCAGGATGTTGAGGCTGCAGTGAGCATGCTTGTGTCACTGAGCTCCAGCCTGGGCAACAGAGTGAGACCTTGACTCAAGCAAACAAACAAACAAACATGAAAACATTATGGAAACTAAACACAATGCATTTCTGCATCTATTGGCTAAATAGAGCCTACAAGCTCCTAATTTACAACCTCTTTTTCAGCCAAGGTCTGATGGTTTCATTGCATTTTGCAGGAGGCACAACCCTCTGCTCTTGGCATCACTGGGTCTCTGCTCTTGTGTAATGAGACTGGGGACAAACTGTGTCCATCCCTGATACGCAGGACTGCTCTTGCCAGGCAGGATTGGAATTAGGGGCTCTAACCTCTGAAAAGTGAGTTTTTCCTCCCTCAAAGCAATTATTTATTTATTTTTTTGTTTTGAGATGGAGTTTCCCTCTTGCTGCCCAGGCTGGAGTGCAATGGCACAATCTTGGCTCACTGCAACCTCTGCCTCCAGGGTTCAAGTGATTCTCCTGCCTCAGCCTCCTGAGTAGCTGGGATTGCAGGCACCCACCACCACGCCTGGCTAATTTTTTGTATTTTTAGTAGAGATGGGGTTTCACTATGTTGGCCAGGCTGGTCTGAAACTCCTGACCTCAAGTGATCCACTTGCCTTGGCCTCCCAAAGTGCTGGGATTATAGGCATGAGCCACCATCCCTGGCCCATTTGTTTTTTGAGACAAAGTCTTGCTGTGTCACCTAGGCTGGAGTGCTGTGGTATGATCACAGCTCACCCTAGCCTTAATCTCCTCTGATCAAGCAGTCCTCCCACCTCAGCCTCCCATGCAGTGGGACCACAGGCACATGCCACTGTGCCTAGCTAATCTTTTAATTTTTTGTAGAGATGAGTCTCCTTGTGCTGCCCAGCCTGGTTTTGAGCTTCTGGGTTCAAGTGATCCACCCACCTTCACCTTCCAAAGTGCTGGGATTATAGGTGTGAGCCACTGCACCCTGACCCAACGCAATTTTTAAACACTACACTGTAAAATAAGCATCGTAAGTCCAATAAAGTTCTGATTTTTCTCATGATAACTACTTATGTTGTTTTAAGGAATCAGATTACTTGAGTAAACATCTCCGGAGGTGTGCCTGCTCTGCTGGGGCCCTAACTGCATGCCTGTCTGCCTCTTGAGTAACCAGCTGTGAGGGAAGGAGGAAGCCTGCACGTGTCACTCGTGGCCAGAATTCCTGGCTCTCCCTTTTCATGGTTGTTGGCAGTAACCAAGTAATATTTATAGGTGTGTAGCATTGTTGATGGCCTGCTGTGTTCAGGGAGCAGTAGTTGGATCAGGAAGGTGGTAGAGGCTTAGCACAGTTTCCCCTGCATGCCAGCGCATTTGCTATTTTGTCTTGGGTACAAATTCATTCTGAGTTTAGTCAGGGTATGAGGATACTTAGCACTAGGGAACTTCCACACAAGAGCCTGGTACTTGGCAGGGGATTAGACAAATGATATGGGGTCCTTGTTCTTTGGCACCGAAATTAGGTGAGGGGCTCATGATCCTTCTCAGCAGGGGGAGGGGGAGCTAAGCTGAATCCACCAACAGAAACCACACGGAGAGGTAGACACTTCCCCACTACGGTCTAAGGTCTTGGGAATAGTTTAGGAGAAAGGAAAACAGAATCACAGCTGCTAAGAGAGAGATGCAGATTACAAACGGAGTAAGGATTTAGGAAGCTTGATCTTGAGACTTTTTTTGTAAACACTAAAATAATGCGTTTCCCAGACTTCCTTTTAGAGCCTCTATTCTCTGGAGTAAAACCTCAGAGTACTTGGATAAGTATTAGAAATTGAGATTTGTCTCTGAGGCTATTACTGGGTAAGGGTACCACAAAAATACAGTTTCTAAAAGTTTTTCTTAGGTTATTATTTTTTTTTTTTTTGAGGCAGGATCTCACTCTGTCACCCAGGCTGGGGTGCAGTGGCACAATCACAGCTCACTGCAGTCTTGACCTCCTGGGCCTAAGCAATCCTTCCGCCTCAGCCTCCCATGCAGGTGGAATTACAGGTACGTGCCATCACACCTGGCTAATTTTTGTATTTTTAGTAGAGATGTTGGCCAGGCTGGTCTCCAACTTCTGATCTCAGGTGATCCACCTGCCTTAGCCTCCCAAAGTGTTGGGATTATAGGCGTGAGCTATCACGCCTGGCCTGGCCAGGTTTATTTATTTTTTTGACACAGGGTCTCACTTTGTTGCCTAGGCTGATTGCAGTGGCACGATCTCAGCTCACTGCAACCTCTGCCTCCTGGGTTCAAGTGATTCTCATGGCTCAGCCTCCTTAGTAGCTGGGACTACAGGCACCTACCAGCATGCCTGTCTTATTTTTGTATTATTGGTTGAAATGGGGTTTTGCCATGTTGGTCACGCTGGTCTCAAACTCCAGACCTCAAATGATCTGCCGCCTCCCAAAGTGCTGGGATTACAGGTGTGAACCACCTTGCCTGGCCTATTTTTAAACACTGAAAGCAAATGAGAAACAGTGAGAAGGATCACAAATAGAAATCATGAGCAGGAACAAAGGGGAGAAATTGGCCTGTAACATTTTTTCTTTGTTACTAGGTCTTTTTTTTTTGACGGGGTTTTACCATGTTGGTCAGGCTATTCTTGAACTCCCAACTTCAGGTGATCTGCCTGCCTTGGCCTCCAAAGTGCTTGGATTACAGGCGTGAGCCACCACGGTGCCCGGCTTTAGCTGTCAGAGTCCAGTCCCATGACTGTGATATAGTCCCTTTGGATAAGTCAATTAGCTTGACTTAGGAATGTTCATCATTTCCTATATCTCAGGGCTGTTTATAGGGTAACTAACGTGTAGTGATTATTTTGCTAAAAACACTAATATTTTTAGAAAGTGAGGCAAAGTCATGCATCACCAAATCTTTAAATGCTAATATTTGAAAATTGGGCCAGTTTGGAAGAGTGTGAGAAAAGAGGGAATAGGGGTGTCGTCCCTGTACTCACTGATTGAAACTCAAGCGGCTAGGCGGAAATGGGTGAGGTTGACAGCACAAGTATAGGCTTTGCTAGAAATCTAAATGAACATCATGAAGAAAGAACAGGGAAGCACATAGATAGCCCAGCCTCAATGTTGGCTCTGCCACCTTTAGGGGTCAGGTCCACCCCCAGGTTGCCAGGGCATCAGAAAAACACTGTGCTGGGTTTCAGAGCAAGAGGATGGGAGTCACAGGGTAAAGGGAGGAGACTGCACAGAGCAGGAGCAGGGGCTATGAGAGTTAGGAAGGGAGCCGAGGGGGAGTTTTCTCTTCACAAATGGCAGGGCGGAACACTCACACAAGGATCACAGTATATGCATGGTGCCGTCTGCAGTGACATCTTCTGGCCATTTGTGGAAGAAGTTTTCTCAGAGGCATCACTGATTCTTGAGAAAAGGAATTTAGGAAAGTTGGGTTGAGGATATACACTGGACCGGATATGGATTTTTGTGATTGTGGTACATCACTTGACAGA